TAAGAAAAAATAAAATTTAAATTATAATATTGATTATTGTAAATTAAAATTAGAATCTTGATAAATATAGATTAAAATTATTATATTAATTAATTATTTCATTTGATATAGAATTTAAACTTCAAAAATAAAATGTTATAAAAAAACATATGTACTATATTTAATATTTTTTAAAAGTTTAGGGCACACATGTCAACAGCAAAAAAAGAACTCCGCATTAGTTTAGTTAATAGAATATTTGTCAAGTAAACCATTTTGAAATAAAATCGATAGTTTATAAATCATTTTGAAAAAAAAAATTGTTTCTAGACTAAACTGAAATAAATTACATGATTAATAAAATATTTATTAAATTTAACCTTTTTTTTCCTTTAACAACTACAATTTTTTAAGAATTAGACAAAAAAAAAAAAAAAACTCTCAAATTATAGTCAAGTGAGAAGCAGAACTACTTCCACCCACTCCTTAAGCACTTCAAGTGGTCTTTCTTACAAAAACAATGGGTTATATGCATATAGTCTCTCTAATAGGATATCTTACAGTTTTGTTTAGGTTTTGATTAAGAATTTTTCTAACATATGTTGTTACAGTACAAATTAATAATATAATTATTATATTTTTTTATATTAATTAATATAAAAAAATATAAACAACATCATTAATTTTATCATCGATGACACATGAATTATTTTAATTAAATTAGTACTTAAATATTAATTTTTATTTTTTTAATATTAATTAATAAAAAAATATAATAATTACATTCTTAATCTATATCTTAAAAACAAATATTAAAAAAACCCTTAAATTAATTAGTCATGATTAAATTTACTTATTATTATTAACATTCACTAATATTTAGTAGTTGGGATTTTTTTTATGTTGATCACAATAGAAAGACAATACAATTAGGGATGAGAACAGCTTGTCGCTAAATAAAAAATAAAAAATAAAAACTAGCTCTGAAATTGCTTCTATACACTTAACCAATTAACGAAAGATATCATTAATTAGTGATCAATTGGGATTCAGGAAGTGTCAATAGAACAAATAGCTGACATGATTATCATTAGTCTATTTCCCTTTTTTTTCAAAACAAGGATTTCAAGCCACTACTAGAAAACCCAACTCCACCAACCCACAATTACCGATGCAAGAATTTTTACCGGTAAACTAGCATCTTACCTGTAAGAAACATGTTTGGAAAGATAAAAACAGTTAAAATAAAAGTAATTTATATTATTTAAAATTCAGATGAAATTTTTATCAATAAATTTATACCATATTCACATGTTCTTTGTGGATAAATATCCTGCAATATTCCGTCCAGTGGCTCACAGACCAATACCCCAATTACCAACGAAGAGGACACCTGTAAGCTGTATTATCTACAACAAGATTTTTCTCAGTGAATTTACCTACAAGAATCACGTCGATAATTTCACAATCCCCAACCTACCTCGTGAACCCGAGTGTTGGTGCCTGGTTTTGCAGCCTTTTCTCCAACTTACCGACAAGATTCCCGTCAGTAAGCTATATTGCCAACCAGAATTTTCTCGATGATTACCCTAGTCAATCACCATCATGAAGCAATGTAAAGATGATCAGCTTTAAATGGTAACAATGTGGATCTCGTCAACAAGGTCACTGTCTTACCTGTCGAACCCCCTTCCCCTTTAATTTTTGTTTTTCCTTCAACAATTTTACCTCCTCATTCTCTATCAACTTTCTTCCTTCCTTTACCTACTCATCCTTCTTCTTTTTGCTTTTTATTCTTTCTCTCTCTCTTCTCCCTTCTTCTTCCTCTCTTAAACCCAAATTTGGGTTTTTCTCAAACATCGCACTTTGATGCATCATGGTCTCAACGCAGATGATGTTCAGCATCTTGTTAGCAATATCGAGGGTGAGGTCGGCGGTGGAGCCACTAGCGCCCCGGGTGATGTCGCAGAATGCAGGATTGTGCGCCACCATGCGGTTCATCCTCTCGAAGAGGTTGTCGACTCCACTCCTCCATCAATGATTAACTGTTTTGCAGTCTGCTGTGACAAATCTGGCATACACTAGAGTAAATAAAATACGAAATAGGATAATACAGAATTATAGAAAAGCAAGAAACTAGAAACCTAAATATGGAGCTTCATATTAAATTTCATTCTAATTTTTACAGAACAATAATAAACCATGTTTTGGCTAAGTTTACTCAGATTCCTATCCCTATAATCCTGGAAATCGAAACTCAAACCGAAGAATATTCCTATAATCTTGAAAATTGAAACACAAACCGGAGAACGCACGGAGTAAGAGGGGAGTACCTTGAATCGGAGAACAAGATTGGCATCACCACGGTCATTGCAGTAGATGGTGCTATGAGAAGGCGCTTGCGGCTGAACCCGTCCAAGCGTGCTGGTACACGATACGGTGCGTTGGTCTATGTTGGTCGGATTTCGAGCCAGCCTCGATCTCGATGGCTGGAACCGATCCCATCCACTCATTGTGTTCGCTTTCTCTCCCCAATCCAAAAAAAAAAAAACTGGAAAGCAACGATCAGATTCCAGAAATCAACATCCAGATGGTTTGATTTCCGCTTCTGACTCTGCTGTTCTCTGGTAAAACCGTACTGTTTTCTTTCTGAATTCGAAGAAGAAGACGACCTTGTTTTGGTGGTCTGCTTGAGCTCTTATCTTGTCTATCACCTACATTGTCACTACTACTGTTTCCTCAAAAATCCTCAGCCGACCTTTACCACGTGAGTTGGATGTTAGGCGTACCACTTGCTTTGTCTAAAAACAAGAAAATAAGATTTTCCAGACGACTCTTCTCTTTTCCAACGGTCGACCTCTAATAGGATAGCTGAAAAGAACGTCTGTGAAATGAATTGCACCCCAGATGATGTTGCAAAACAGAGGATAGAGTTCTGCAAAATGGGTTACTAATTGCCTTGGAAACCTCCAAGGACTTCACAACCAAACAAGTGTAATAAAAGCTACAAATCCTAAAATAAATGCAATATCCTATAACAATTAAACTAACATGAAGTAAATAACAGAAAATAACATGCCATAAAGATTAAATTCGCAGACAATAGAAAAAGTAAAATAACAGACAATGATTTCAATTACACAACCCATAATGATAACTAGAATTGAAGAAGAAACTATGAAATGATAAAGTCTGGAAACTTATAAATTTAAATCTGGAAATTGGAATTAAACAAACTGCATGTCTAAATATTGTGCAGAAACAAAAGAACAAAGATAGAAAACATTCATCCCATTTACATGAACGAATAACATAACTAAATCCATAAAAGGAAGAAGAACTAATCGAATCAAAAGAGCAGACCTGTTTTGAAGGCTAAGTTGCTTCCAAATGTTTAAAAACTAATCTAAATTGGAATTTGCAGAAGAAAATATGAACAAAGATAGGCAAACCTAGGCTAAGGCTATGAACTAATCTGGAAAATCTGGAAATTATTGCTGAAATCTGGAAAATGTAGTCTGAAAGCTGAAAAACATGCTCTGGGCAGTCTGTGTGTGTGTTGGGCAGGCCTCTAACTGTTCTCTCCTCCTTGTTTTTGTTCTCTTTGATGCTGGTAACTTTCTCCATGATCTGCGGTACTGTTCCTCGATTTTCGGCACCGTTCCTCCATAATCTGGTAATGGGATTGCAGGTCTGGCAGTTATTTAATAGTTATCCAATTTTTATTTAACCTTATCTCCAACAACCTTAAAGATAACGACCTAAAAATCCTCAATTTCCCATTTTAAATCAAACTCAAACTACCAGATCCAATCTTATCTTCTGCCACCTAAGATCCAACCTCCTTGGAAATCCGTCTGGGCCGTTAAATTATAAGCCAGCCTAGCCCAAATCCAGTCTATTGATTTTCTTGATAATTGGGCTTTACCTTGACACGTGGCCTTACCTTATTGGTTTATTTTAGGTGTAAACAATGCCCCCCAACACTTGGTTTTATGGGAATAAATCCAAGTGTTTAAATTTTAAATTACCTTTCAGACTCCAAAGGTCACGTGCAAAATCTGCTGAATCCCGAGATGATTGCAGCAGGTATTCCCAACTTTTTCACAGCTGACTCTGTCTGAGCGCATCCAGCCATCCACAGCCAGTCATGGCCGCTCGATCAAACTTGCTCTCATTTTGGAATAAACACATGAAAGCAAATCAACTTATTTATGCACAGACAGAAGTATGAACCTGGCTCAAACAGCTTCTTAAGACTCTAAGCCTCTTGCCTCCCAGACTGTCGGGTAATAAGGCTTAAGATAAATTCCATTGATTTTTCTGAGATGAAGCTCTCCATCAAGTGACTCCAACCAATAAGCACCCCCTTTCAACACTTCATGAATTCGAAATGGTCCTTCCCAATTTGGAGACCATTTCCCAAATCTGTGATCTTTCTTGCCAAGAGGTAAAATTGCTTTCCAGACCAAGTCTCCAACTGCCAGATTTTTACCTTTTACCCTCTTGTTGTAAGACTTTGCAATTTTGAGTTTTTGAGCTTGCAATCTATCCAAAGCTGTCAAACGTGTGTCTTCAAGGTCCTTAAGTTCAAGCATCATGGCCTCATCATATTCCCCAGACTGGAGATTATGTTGAATTGCTATTCTTAAAGACCTGGCTGTTAACTCCATTGGCAAGACTGCATCGTGGCCATATGTCAAGGTAAAAGGTGTTATCTTGGTTGAACTCCTTTGTGAAGTCCTATAAGCCCACAGTGTTTCAAACAACAGTTCATGCCAGCGTCTGAGGTTGTCATCCACCATTTTTTCAAGCAAATTAATCACCACCTTATTAGAAGCCTCCGCTTGCCCATTAGCTTGTGCATAATGAGGAGTAAAATTTAACAGACGGAAACCCATTTCCTTTGCAAATGCCTCCATTTGATGGCTAACAAAAACTGTGCCTTGGTCTGTTGTAATTGTTTCTGGCAGACCAAATTTGTGAATAATATCCTCTTTGATGAACTTGATTACATCAGATTGGTCTACCTTCTTCATTGGTTTAGCCTTCACCCATTTGGTAAAATAATCTGTTGCCATTATAATAAATGAATGACCTTTTAATGAAGGGGGATACACCTTACCAATTAAGTCAATAGCCCAGCCTCTAAATGGCCACGGTTTCACAATAGAATTAAGTTCAGAGGCTGGAACTCTTTGAAGTGGCCCATGGATCTGACAAGATTTGCAGCCCTTAGCATAAGCAATACAGTCTTTCAAGACAGATGGCCAAAAGAGGCCATGTCTGCGAATCAGCCAACGCATCTTGATCCCAGCCTGGTGTGCACCACAAATCCCATCATGGACATCAGACAGCATCTGGAAACTTTCATCTGGACCCAGACAACGTAGCAATAGTTCATCATGGCCTCTCCTATAAAGCACATCCTCAATCAAAACATAATTGAGAGCTTGCATTTTGGTTTTCCTAGATACCTTAGTACTTTGATCCTTAAGGTACTGAATAATTGGAAAGCGCCAGTCTGTCTGGGTGACATCAATGCTGCAAGTAGAAACTGTCATGCCACGTTGATGAATTGATGGCAGATTGCACTTTTCAACTATTACAACTTTCTGCATTACACCTTCAGGAATTCGCAGACCTGAAGCAATCTGGGCCATTTCATTAGCCTCATAGTTCTGGTCTCTAGGCACATGTCTGATGGACACATCGTCAAACTCTTCTAGCAGTTGCACAGCCAAGGCAAAATAAGGGGCTAAAGCAGGGCTAGTACATTTGTACTCACCAGACAATTGCTTCAAGACTAGCTGTGAGTCCCCTACAACCTCAACCATGGATACTCTAAGCTCCACCAACATCTCAAGACCAATAATCAAAGCTTCATATTGTGCTTGATTATTTGTGCAATCAAAATCCAGCTGGAAAGACATCTGTGTTTTCAGCCCAGACGGGGAGATTACCACGACTCCAGCTCCAGCCATGGTTTCTATACTAGATCCATCAAAAATAAGTTTTCAAGGAACTAAACTTATTGAAAACAAGTTAATCCCTTTTTCTTCGTTTGCTTCCACATCCAGACATGGATGATCTACAAGAAAGTTTGCCAATGCTTGCCTTTTGACAGCCTTCTATGGTATATACTTCAAATTAAATTCAGACAAGGCCAGAATTCATTTACCTATTCGGCCTCTTAACAAAGGGTGGCACAACATATATTTGACAATATCAGTCTTAGCAACCACATAGACCTCGGAATAAATCAAATAATGTCTTAATTTTATTGCAGCAAAAAAGAGAGCAAGACACAACTTTTCGACTGAAGAATATTTCACTTCGGTCTGGGTCAAATATCGACTCAAGTAATACACAGCCTGCTCCTGTTTTTTATCATTTTCTTGCGCCAGCAGACATTCTATGGACTCGTTTGCGGCGGATATATACAAAATTAAAAGCTTATTTTTCACAGGCGGTACAAGTACTGGTGATCTGGATAAGTACCGCTTTATCATATCAGAGGCAGACTGGTGGTGTTCTTCCCACTTAAAATCCACCTTAGACTTGAGTTTCAATAGAGGAGAAAAGACTCTAGTTTTCCCAACCAAGTTAGAAATGAACTGTCTTAAAAAATTAACTTGGCCAAGAAATCTTTGCAACTCCTTCTTGTTCTGTGGTGGTTTCGCCTCAATCACAGCCCTAGCTTTGTTCTTGTCAACCTCCAGACCACGCTCATGCACCAAGGAAGTTACCCGCAGACACTCCAAAGGCACACTTTAGTGGGTTCATTTTCAAGCCATGTTGCCTCATCCGCCCAAAAGCTTTCCTCAAATGGACCAGGTGGTCTGCTTCCCCATGTAACTTCACTACCACATCATCAATATAGATTTCCATGAACTTACCAATCATATCATGAAAAATTGCATTCATGGCTCTTTGATAGGTAGCTCCAGCATTTTTCAGACCAAATGACATCACAACCCATTCAAAAGTTCCAACAGCACCTGGACATTGAAAGGCTGTTTTTGGAACGTCTGCGTCTGTAATAAAAATTTGATTGTACCCACTATGACCATCCATGAAAGATAGAATTTTGTGACGGGCTCCTCCATTGACCAACAAGTCTGTAATTGGCATAGGATACTCATCCTTTGGTGTATCTAAATTCAAGTTTCGAAAATCAACACAGACTCTTAATTTTCCATTCTTTTTCAGCACAGGCACTACATTTGACAACCAGTCTGCATACCTGCATGTCCGAATGAATCCAGCTTTTACCAGCCGCTCAATTTCTTCTTTCACCTTCAAAGTGACCTTTGCAGACATGCGTCTGGGTGGCTGTTTATACGGTCTGAATCCTTCTGCAATTGGCAGTTTATGTTCCACCAATTTTCGATCCAAACCTGGCATTTCTGAGTAATCCCAAGCAAAACAGTCTTTAAATTCATGCAAAAGTCGGACAATTTGATCTCGTGTCTGCGGCTCAAGAGAGCCGCTGATAAATGTTACCTTTGGTTCACTTTCAGACCCTAGATTGATCTCCTCCAGTGGGTCTTGAATTTCAGCTTTTAAATCATCTAATTTGGCTGGGGTTAGATCCAGCTCCTCCAAAGTTATTTCAACACCTCGGTCTGCCTCCTAACCTTCATGAACAATTTCAAACCTGTCTACTTGAACTGCTTTTTCAGCAAAATAGGCCGCTAATTTCTTTGTTATCTCCAACACGGCCTTTTCTCTTTCTTGTCTCAGACGAGCTTGCTTCATTAGATTTCTTCAATTTTTAGTTTCCCCTTCGGCCTATAAGGAATTATTGTTGTTGGCCGAAGAAGTTCATCACAGACCTCCTCTACAACATGCTTAGACAATGACGGTCTGCTACATGCTGTTATCCCAATCGGCTTTCCATGTCTATCCATCCCAAAAAACTGAATGGTACCAATGTCTTCTTCATAATATCTAGCCTCCACCAGGTGGATATTCGCTGAAAAAGGCTTATCATTTGCAAACACGACGTCAACTTTGCCTCCATTCCAGAAAATCAATTTCTGGTGAAGTGAAGAAGGGACACACAAACTTGAATGAATCCGGTCACACCCCAAAAGTGCATTATAAGTAGCAACAGTATCCACCACAAAAAACGTAGACATCAGTGTCCTATTTCCCACTGTTAATTCAACAGGCAGCACACCCCTTGAACGATTCACCCCTCTTGTAAAATCACTAATTGTAACCTCAGTATGCACTAAATCATCAAGAGACTTGCCTATTTTGTAGAGCATGCAAGTTGGAAGGACATTGACTGCAGCTCCATTATCCACCAAGACACAGCTGATTGGAGTCCCATCCATATGAGCATTGATATAAATTGGCCTAATGTGTCTGGCCATCTTTTCTTCTGGTTTTTCAAACACAATTTTGTCAGCCATGTCCTCCTCTTCATCATCCTAAGCTGGAACAACAATTACCTCTTCTTCTGTCTGTTCTGGGAACTCACAGACGATTGGTTCCTCCTCATTCTTGGCTTGGAAAACCAAGGGTAATGTCAGCACCAGACATGAAAAATTCACTGAGAATTTCCCAAAATGAATAGTGCCATCTTCTTTTGATTCGGCTCCACGATTCCCAGACTATTCTTGTGCTTCAAAAGTTGCTTTCAAAACCTCGTCTGGACTCACAATGACAAATGCCACCTTTGGAGAGGCTGGAGATTGGTCATCCCCCTTCAGTAGAGTCTGGGTTACAGCCTCCTTTTTCTCTTTTCTCACCCACACCATGTTCCTTTTTGTAGGTTAGCGTGGTCTGCGAGATGAACTTCCCTCAGCCTCCACCTGCTTCTGTTGCCTTTTTCGCTCTTCAGCCCTCTTACGTTGCAGTCTGCACCTCAAGGTTCTGGGATTCTGGGTTGGAAACTTAGGATGACTGACTTTCTCCCACCGTTTAGAAGGTGACCTGAGTGGCGGTTTGACCATCCTTGGAGACCTAGTACCAGTTGAGTAACGTCTGGCACCTTCTGGACTGAAGTTCCTGGTCACAGTGATCCTTCCTTGCCCCTCGAGCCTCTGTTGGTCTGACCTGACGCTCCTGATATGTTTGGATCTCTGTGCCTCAAGAACCCACCTCAAGTCTTCGGCAGTAAGGTTCCTTTGAGCATATGGCAGACTACGATTTCTGGCAACACTCTTGAGGTCTGCAACATTCACGCCAACAGACACAACTAGAAAAGGATCTGCATCCACTCCCATGGTTTCCTTCGCTTTGTCTGGAAATTTCAAGATACCCTTATCAATATTTTCCAATGGCCTCAAGGCTGGCCCATGGTCTCTATTGAAGAATTGAGCTGGTTGATTCTGTAGACCACGCTGTACCGGTTAGGCTGATGGAACTTGTGGCTGAAAAAAGTCCCTTCAGTGTTGATGATGAGGACCCACATTTCCCTTCCTAACTGGTGGAATATACCTATGCTGAGGTTGATGGCCATGGTCTGCAACAGGAGTAGCAGCCTCCATCAATTGGTGTTGTCTTTGCCCTTCACCAATGACAAAATGCTGCTGTTGAATATTAGGATGAGGCTGATTCCCTTGCCCCCCGAGTGCTGGGATTGGGGCTTCCTGAATCTGTCTGGGCATTTCAACGACTAGAGGAAGGATCTCAGATCTGGGCTGTCGCACTTGCTCAACCACTTGTTCTGAAACAGCCTGCAATGTTCTGCGACTTTTTTCCCCAGTTTCTTGCATCACCCTAGTGCCTTCTTCAAAGACCGTCTCATCTCTTCTATACATTGTCTAATTAACTCTTTCTGACGTTCGGAGGATTCTGCTTGACTGTCAACAAGTCTTCGCATAGCTTGGTTCTGTTCTTTGAATGCTAAATCCAGACGTTAAGTCATACCTCTAAACACATTACTTGATTTAGCAAAGTCATCTCTGCGGTCTGCATCCCTTTCTTTGAAAATTGGATTGCCATAAGATCGTTCCACGAAGGGTGATAAGAAAGGAAGAACAACTAGATCATTCTCACCCTCTGAGTAAACTAGACCGTCATCTACACGTTCAGCCTGGGCTGGCTGAACCTCTTTATCTTTGCTCTTTCTCAGTGGCATGGCTCCATACGCCTTTGAATGTATGAACAGAGGATTTGTGAATTGTAACTGATACATCCTGTTGGTTGTCCCACTGGGCGTGCCAACAAAGGATTGTTTCCTCAAAAATCCTTAGCCGGCCTTTACCACGTGAGTTGGATGTTAGGCGTGCCACTTGCTTTGTCTAAAAACAAGAAAATAAGATTTTCCAAATGACCCTTCTCCTTTCCAACGGTCGACCTCCAATAGGATGGCTGGAAAGAACGTCTGTGAAATGAATTGCGCCCCAGACAATGTTGCAAAACAGAGGGTAGAGTTTTGCAAAATGGGTTACTAATTGCCTTGGAAACCTCCAAGGACTTCACAACCAAACAAATGTAATAAAAGCTACAAATCCTAAAATAAATGCAATATCCTAAAACAATTAAACTAACATGAAGTAAATAATAGAAAATAACATGCCATAAAGATTAAATTCGCAGACAACAGAAAAAGTAAAATAACAAACAATGATTTCTACTACGCAGCCCATAATGATAACTAAAATTGAAGAAGAAACTATGAAATGATTAAAGTCTGGGAACTTATAAATTTAAATTTGGAAATTGAAATTGAACAAACTGCATGTCTGGATATTGTGCAGAAACAAAAGAACAAAGGTAGAAAATGTTCAACCTATTTACATGAACGAATAACATAACTAAATCCATAAAAGGAAGAAGAACTAACCAAATCAAAAGGGCAAACCTGTTTTGAAGGCTAAGTTGCTTCCAAATGCTTAAAAATTAATCTAAATTGGAATTTGCAAGAGGAAATATGAACAAAGATGAACAAACCTAGGCTAAGGCTATGAACTAATCTGGAAAATCTAGAAAATCTGGAAACGATTGCTGAAATTTGGAAAATGCAGTCTGAAAGCTGAAAAACATGCTCTGGGCAGTCTGTGTGTGTGTTGGGCAAGCCTGAAACTGTTCTCTTCTCTCTATATTTATCTTCTTCAGTGCTGGTAACTTTCTCCATGATCTTCGGTACTGTTCCTCGATTTTCGGCACTGTTCCTCCATGATCTGGTAATGGGATTGCAGGTCTGGCAGTTATTTAATAGTTATACGATTTTTATTTAACCTTATCTCCAACAACCTTAAAGATAACTACCTAAAAATCCTTAATTTCCCATTTTAAATCAAACTCAAACTACCAGATCCAATCTTATCTTCTGCCACCTAAGATCCAACCTCCTTAGAAATCCGTCTGGGCCGTTAAATTGTAAGCCAACCCAACCCAACCCAACCCAAATCCAGCCTATTGATTTTCTTGATAATTGGGCTTTACCTTGACATGTGGCCTTACCCTATTGGTTTATTTTAAGTGTAAACAGGTTCATTCATATTCTAGTCCAAAATTTCTCAAAACTAGTTCATGAATAACGATGATAACTAGAAATTGAAATAGGTCTTGATCGAGTTACAAACTTCATTTATAACTTTTACTTATCATTAAATAAATGGATTTAATTAAATATCAACAAATTTCAATAGAGTAAGAAGAGCCGTCATTAAAGGACATAAAGATATGCAAAGTTGTGAGCAAAAGTTATGATCATTTAGCTTTTTTTTCTTTTAATAAGACAGACTAATTAGTGAAAACCATCATAAGTATTTCAATAAAATGAGAAGAGCCATTATTAAATAACATAAAGATATTTCAAGTTGTGAGCAAAAGTGATCATTACTTTCATTTTTAATAGGACGGACCAACTAGTTAAAACCATCACAAGAGGGAGAGGAATGGATAGAAAGAATGAAGGTTCAAACCCCAATCACACATGGAAAGAAGCATCTTTTTTCCTATGGTTTAGCTAGTTACCCTAGAGGCCTTCATCTTGTGATCATTTAGCTTTTGAAATCGATTCTAGATGATAATTAGGCAGAAGGAAAATGGAAAGTCTATTTAAACCTGTTTCTTGAACTCTAGATGCTTATTAGGCAGAAGATTGCCTGCCAATCATGATGGTAAGGAAAAGACAGGAAAAACAAGATGAAAATGTTTGCAAAATGGCATTACTATTTACAGCAACCAGAAACAGCATTCACTCGAGTATCTGTGTATATGCTATATTGAAAACTAAGGTGCCCTCGGCATTCAAAAAGTGTGGTTTCATACCAGAGACTGGTAACGAGAATTGGGGAAGGAAGAAAGTGGATAACACAATAATACAGCAATCAGGAACAGAGGAAGCCAAAATGCTTTACTATTCGGTGTTTCTTTCTGCTGAGTGTATTGCTAGCACAAAACGGGAATTCACCTTGCTTGAGGTTGGGGAAAGGCAGTCTAGATGCGACTACTTCTTGGTTTCTCATTCCCTTTATGTAACCTTGGAGCTGAAGATTATGAATTAACGTTATTTATGAGATTAGAAAGCAAATTCAGAAAATGGATAGGCGAACTTTTAATGCATATGCATACCAAGCCCAGTAGCCTCAATTGTCCTCATGATTCTAAGCCTTTTCACCGAGCTAAGAAACATCCTGAATGCAGATTCAAAAAATAATTGATGTGATTGTCAAAGTCAAACCTTATAAAATGACACATATAGCATAACCAACTTCAAGAAGCAGAGAATTAAACCACTAAAGCTGAGGATGAAAACCGAAAGAAGACAAATCTCAAATAGTAATGCTTCTTTTCTAGCTAACATTTTCTTCCCTACTGGCCCAAAAAACAAAACTGGGTTAGGCTTACAATATAAACTGTCATGTTTCAGTCTCATTATCACAAGAAAAAATCAAGAAATTAAGAAAAAATCATCAATCATGCGCTGAGGGATTGATCAGTAAATCAACATGTCATAATGTGAAACCAGAATTTTACAACATTGACTTTCTAGAAGTCAAACTAGCATGCTTCAAGCGTTACTTTGAAATGTCATGTAGCATACATTAATCCTCAATAGCTATCTAGATATCAGAAATAACCCAAAAAGCTATACCAATTTCATGTTCTATATCTCATCAGATTCCATGTTGGAGGCACGTGATCCTCATTATCATACAACAGGTGCAATTTCAATGTAACATACAAATATGAAGATCATGACCACCAAAGCCACTCCAATGTTGGACAAAGATCTTTACTTCTCAAACACGGCAACAGAAAAGCAAATGTACATTTGTCTGCATAATAAATGAGTGTGTTTAAAAATAAAATCAATGCATTGGTGCACATTGTTAGTAGTCAAATATACATACCCCCATGGAACATCTCCAACAAGCATCCAGTCTCCTTCCTTATCCTCATAAGTAAGCACAAATTCAGCTGATCCATCAATCAGTTTTGAGGGTCTTTTTAAATCAGCCATTTTGTTGTCTTCATGTACACTTGACCCTAATAACATAAATGACACCAACATTAGTTAAAAAGAAAAGAGAAAAAAAACAACTTCTCAGTCAAAGCCTGTATCATCTTGTGGAAATTAAAAACTTTTCAGTTGCCACAATAGAATTACAAAGGTTATATATATCCTTTCACTCTCAACTCCACTCTATGATTTCATTGCTTCAAAATTCTAGAAAAGTATCCAAACTTCCTTGATCTACAAAAGGAAAGAGTTTCAGCATTCTCCAATCCAAGATTCCTTATATATGTCTAGTTATTCACAGAATTGCAAATAAATAAAAAATTGGGGAAAATCTAATCAAATTTGATCAGGTTGAGAGTTGGTATTTATCTTTGAAATTTAACCAATTTATATTTAAAGCATGCACTATCACCTGGGTTACATTCCAGGTCAGCTCAAGACAATGATCTCAAAGCTCATGAGTTCATAAATCCTAAGTTCAAACCTCAAATGAGTGTCTAAATTCTTCCTTCAAAAACCAAATGGAAACAAATAATAATAATAACTCACTTCTTGGATCCATGCTTGTGGTGGGTCTGAGAAACATAGCTTCCAATGTTTTTGCATCCATGAGAGTTCAGATCAACCTTCCTTCCAATTGGAGTTCCATCGATATTCACCTTCACAAACAGGGAACTTTGCTTAGCTTTGCCACTTTTCTTGTAGCAGCTGATGTTATTCTTCTCTGCCATAATATTCTTGCTTTCATTCTTATCAAAAGTAGGGCTAAATCCTGTGGCAGCTATTGTTTTTCCTTGGTTGGCCATGCTATTCATTCTGTAAGCTCTTACAGGAGGCCACCCAACAACCTGACTGTTTCAAGATACAAGGCAATACAATAACAGAGAAAAGGAATCCCATCAGTGAAGAACAGGCTCTGAGCAGCAAATAGGTAGTTATTAGCTAATCACCTGTAACTATGAGGTTATTATTCAATCACTGACAAGTAGCTACTTATCATGTACTCAATAAAAAGTCAAACCACAAACTTAAGCTCTGTAATCTCAGAATGATACAAGGGAAGCATGTAAGCATGTAGTTAAATTGAGTTTTAAGATAAAATCTTTTCAGAAAAGGATTTTAACAATTAAAAATACTGCACCAGAAGGCACCATTTGACTTACAATGCTATGCAGGTGCATTATGTGTTTTGGAACATCAAAAATCAACAGAAGCTTTGATGCATAGCTCACCAACATGCCAATTGCCCTGGCAAAACGAGATTTCTAACATAGTGATGGAGCAATAAGTAACAATGGTTTGTCTTGAACAGACAAAGGCTGTTAAAAGAACGATGCTAATGACATGAGCATAACAACACAACTTCATGTTTTATTCATTTTCCCCCCTCAAATGCCAATAGAACTCTGTTACAATGAATCACAACTAAACATAAACGAACAGATGGACCCTTAATAAAAAGAGAAATCGAGAATAAGATAAAGGCCTGTGCGCTTAAGACATATGTTAAGACCACTTTTTTGTTATCCTAATACCTTTTGTTATAAATATCTATTAAAAATTATAAAAGTTGATATTAATTTTAATTTTATTAACAACTAAATGAATTTAATTATTAATTAGATGCTTAATAAAATAAACATACATTTTTATATTTTTAATATAAATTTATAAAAAAATATATTTATTACCCCATATGTTAAAAAAAACCCATACGATAAATGGAAAATTTTAAGGGAAATTAGTTAATTTGATCATAAGAACAATCAGGATTCAGAACACAATCTCGCATTAGGGACCAGCAAATATCACAGCACATAGCCAGATATCTTGAATTCAACCAAACAATTAAGCAAACAAGAGCTCAGGTACCAAATCTTGATTTAAAAATCAAAGCTTACTTGGAACCATTAGCAGCAACAGAATCAGCAGTTCTCTTGACCCCAGATGTGACATTAGCCCTAGTCAATGAAGAAGATGAGGAGGAGGATGATGATGAATAGGAACGGATATCCATAGAAGTCAAAATTCTAGCCTGTTGAGCAGCATTTGAAGCTTGCTGCACCTTGAAACCACCACCGAGGCTCAGGCCAAGACCTAACTCCAGCTCAGATTCATCCGGGCATGAAGAATCCTCAGAGGACAGCACCAAATTGTCTTCCCTTGACACTGTTGACATTGACCCACTTGCAGAACCTTCACCACCACCACCCTGCATCGAGTTGGCTCAACAAAACTCAAACTTTATACCCAGAATCGATTCTCAACAATAAAGAAAACAAGATTATGAGTTATGACAGAAAGCAATCAGGAAAGGTATGGTTCAGGGTAGTGTGTGTTAGAAGCAAAGTTTGTGACTTTTTAGCCAGGAAATTGAACCCCGAAAGGAACAAGGACCGAGATATTGTGGGTGTTAACGTTTGGCGGGTGTTGGGAAAAGAGAAAGGTAGGAAACGTGTTGATACACTGGCAGTGCCGCAGTGATGCTGGTGTTTGTGGTGATGAGAATTGGGAATGGGGCCCTACCTGTCCGGTTTATGTTCCATCAATTTCCTTCCTCATTTTCCCCTTGTTTTACCCCCAAACTGCCACTGCTTCACTTTCTTCTAGACCCTAATCGTCTCCACTCGAGGAACAGTTATTATCTTCATTTTCTCGGTAGCCAAACAAAAACTACAAATCTTTCTGGAAAATGATGAAAGGGACTCCAGCGGTATAAATTCCATTCTGGTAGAAATACTATGCACATTACCTACAAAAATCCAAACTATTCATTCATGTACTGTTTGTGTTTGTCGTCTTTCGTCCTCCAATTGCATCGCGGAACGACGAGAAATTCCGGAATTCATCTAACGCGCCCACCCACAAGCCGACAGGGTGGGCCCAGTAATTACACGGCTTGACGCGTTGGAGGACGGGACCCATCATCGGACATAATTTTTTTTTTTATCATTGCTGCATAAGTTGACTCTCATGTCTTATTGCACTATATTTGCATATTATAAGATTTAAATTTATACGTTTTTATTTTTAATGAAAATAAACGATCATTTAATTATTTAAATAATTAACGATATAATTTTTAAAATAATTTTTTTAATAATTTTTATATATTACTCCCTCCATATATTTTTAATTTCTTTAATTTTTTAACAAAATTTATACTTATTTTTAATTAGATATTGCTTAAATAAAATTTTTTATTTAATATATATTATAATTATCTTTTAATTATGAAATAAAATAAAAATAAAAATATTAAATTATATTTAAAAAATAAATAATTAAATTTAAGTGCCTCAAGTACGAAATTAAGTGAATTAAAATTAAATAAGGAAAATATTAAATAAGTGAATGTATTTTTTTATT